TGTAACCAGACAAGTTGGCTGCACGGGAACAGAGGGGGTTGAGTGCCCTGCTCAAATGAGCTTAAATGCTTGAGGGAGTGGGAGGTGCGAGCAGACCGGAACATGAGCCTCGCAGCCGCATTAATTATAGACTGTAATAGTGCAAGCTGGAAACACGTAAGACCACTTAGACGCAGAGTGCAGCAGTCAAGGTGAAAGAGAAGAGCGGCAAACACAAAACTACAAAGTATAAAAATATATTGTTTAGTTATGTCGAGCACATTTCATTAGATTTTTTATTACACCAGCACATCATGTTATAAATATGCATGTTTCCAGTAGGATCTTCAATATAGTTATGGAATGCGTTCACCTTTTCTTTATTTGGCAGACTTTTCAGTAGCCCTTCCTCCCTCTGAACCTTGCTCTGTTGTCCAGCTAAAGAAAAAGACTATTTTGAAATGATGTTGGGTAGTTCGCATAGAAAAGAATGTTATGTAACTTTATTGTATTGGTATTTATTTTGTCATGCTGTGGATGTAAAATGCCTGCATGTAGAGATCACTTTATGCAGAAATTGTACGATCTTCTACGGGAACTGTCACTTCCCAACCTTTTAATATAAAGTTGACGTGCACTCTATATTTAAAAATATTTTTTCGGGAGATCTGAAAAATAACTTTAAATTTATTAATCCAAACTTCTATATTTCCCTCTGTCTTAGAACTGAATGGATATAATGTGGCTCCATGTCAATTATCGTTATAAACTGCAACTTTTTCTGTGATATAAATAGTAAAAAAAAAAAAAAAAACAAAACTTGCACATGGCAGTATTCTGGTTGCTAAACCATTAAAGAGTTACTCCAACATCCAGGACCACTTCTTCTTTTAGAAATGGTCATGGAAGATATCTGTATGGGCAGTGTTTTAACTTGAAACACTGCACTTCCAGGATTATTTGCACTTGTGTGCTGGTGGCTAGTTACAACCGAGGCATACATGACTGTTCCAGACTGCCAAATGTCAATTCTGTGCACATTGTATGTCCGTCATCAGCGCGCACTGCAAACTGGCGTCAGACACACTGTAGGGAGAACCAGCAATTCTTGTGTCTCCTCTCTCCCTTCCTATTCCCTCTGTTCAATTGTTTTTTTTTTTTTTTTGTTTGTTTTTTTAAGGCCACTTCCTTCTTTCCCTTACCACTCCCTCTCCCCATGCCAGCTCAGAGCGTGCACATGCATGCTTACCCGGCGAAATAGTCCAATTAAATGCTTCACTGTGAGAAGCCTTTGATTTGACTGCACAATGTGTGGAAAGTGAAGCGCCTGGTGCGGAATTCCAGGTAAGTAAAAAAAATTAAAAATAATTTTTTTATAACTTTTTTGTTTTAGTATTTGGAAATGGGGGACCTAAAAGTTCTAAAATATTCCAAGATTAGAAACAAATACATTTCTTTCTGCAGTTGAGATTAGTACCCCACCCTTGTCACTAAGTAAAACTGCCTCTTAGAGACGCACTGAGACACAGAGAACATTAATACTCTGCTCCAGCAATGCTTCTCTATGAGAAGCCCTTACTTCTGGCTTTCCGATCGCACTAAAAGCAAATGAGGTAGGGAACCCTTTCTGGATGTAACTAGGTGGAGTCGTTAAAGTACACTTTTATAAACTAAGACACAGGACACAGCCAGATAACACTTTCACCAAGCTGAAGTGTTTTAAAAAAACTGGACTTTTAAAAAAAATACATATTTTCAGTGTTATATTCAATGGTTACGGTTCCACTTTAATGAATTTGTATTGCTACAGAACTTACAATTGATCTTTTGCACTCAAAAAACGTGACTTGCAGAGCTTTGCAGTAACCCTCTTTAAGACAATCCTTGGGAGTCTTTCCTTCCTGCATAAATAAATACAGATCAATAAGGTCACAGTTTAAAATGTTCTATTCATATGGAAATAATACATTACCCAGCCTAGTTAGATCAACCTACATGTCCTTGAATTTTGTCTAAATTCTACTCACAGCGATCATTTCACACATAATATACACTTTTCTTTTAAAATACTCATGGGTAGTAAAATGTTCTCACAAACTATGTTAGCCAAATTTAACATTTCCATTAGACAGCTGTACATGTCTCAAAGGAGATCTCTGTCAAGCTCAACTAAGATTAGAAATGTGTCCAGGGAGGATTTATTGCGTTTCAAATCTTGGCTGTAAATACACAACAGGATAGGATGTAGGAATGAAAGGACAACATTTGAACATTGTATGTAACACTAACATGAATCCTGACAAATGTAGCACATTTCATTGAGCTATCTAAAGTTATAGGAGACACCATATGCTACATGGCACTCATACTGCACCATCAGTAGCACCATAACACCCACATTGCATCCATCCATAACATCCTGCTTAAAGGGACATTGTAGGCACCCAGACCACTTCAGCTCATTGAAGTGGTCTGGGTGCAAACTCCCATCACCCTTAACCCTAGAGTGGTAACTATTGCAGATTTTATAAACTGCAATAATTACCTGCTAAGGTTAACTACTCCTCTAGTGGCTGTCTACCAGACAGCCACTAGAGGGGCTTCCGGTCGCCTAAACGACACTGGATCACCAGAATTTCCATACGAAAGCATTCAATAATGCTATCATATGGGGAAATCCTAATGTAAATGCAGCCATTGCTCTCCGCCAGCAGGGGGTAGCATGGGTGGAGCTGAGCCAAGCAGAGGGACATCGGCTAGACCCAAATGAGTGACAGAAGGGGTTATTAACCCCTTTTGCACCACGGGGTGGATCTTAACAAATGAGTGTTTTCCTGGCACTTGTGTTTCCCTTTAATGAACATGTTTTGTAGTATATCCCTGGAAAACAAATTTGTGAATTCACCACTAGGTGCTGCTATAGTAGCAAATAAAAGAAGCCAAGTAGAACTAAGGGTAAACAGGCATTCTGAGTTTGTCCAGCAATGTGCCAAGTCTTTTAGAAAAGTGGACTTTTCCTACTAGTATGCAACATTTTGGGGGTAAATGTTCCAAGAATTGCTGGCATAGTAGCGATTATTTTTCTTTAATTGTTCTACTTTTATTTTTCTCCCTACCTCTCTGACAACACTGTAGTGTCAGTTCAAGAAATGTCATATGTTATTACAGGAGTACAGCTGTACATATTCACTAATGCATATTAAAAAAAAATAAAATAAAATAAATTACACTCTTGTATTTACATACGCTAGCACTATATCTACACATACCCTCTATAAAAATAGACAACAGGATTCAAACTAAAAAGACAACTAGACAGTATACTCAAATTTAACCCTACATTTGCTCACACAGAGTCACTCTACATTAACACAAACCCAAGAAAGGCTGTTCAAATACGACCCTTAAGTTAAATGCAACAATACATACAAAAAATAATAATGCTACAATTACACACACTAGCATTCTACCCTGGTATAATATCCCTCATTCACACACCATGGCTGCTACTAAAAACAGTGCTACAAATACACACACCAACATCCTATCCTAGTATAATCTCCTGCATTCACATGCCATTGCACTCTATCCCTCCAGTTACACACACTGACATTTCTGCTCATATTAGCAGCACATTATTATCGCCATGCTGTCATGCTGGTGCAGTAGTGGCCGCGCTGCACACATGGCCGTCCCTTTCCCTATGGCCGGGTTCCTGTGCGCTATACGGACACGGCTCTCGCTGTATATACTGAGTCTGTGTGCTATGCGGACACGGCTCTCCCTGTATATACGGAGTCTGTGTGCTATGCAGACACGGCTCTCCCTGTATATACTCTGAGTCTGTGTGCTATGCGGACACGGCTCTCCCTGTATATATTGAGTCTGTGTGCTATGCGGACACGGCTCTCCCTGTATATACTGAGTCTGTGTGCTATGCGGACACGGCTCTCCCTGTATATACTGAGTCTGTGTGCTATGCGGACACGGCTCTCCCTGTACATACTGAGTCTGTGTGCTATGCGGACACGGCTCTCCCTGTACATACTGAGTCTGTGTGCTATGCGGACACGGCTCTCCCTGTATATACTGAGTCTGTGTGCTATGCGGACACGGCTCTCGCTGTATATACTCTGAGTCTGTGTGCTATGCGGACACGGCTCTCGCTGTATATACTCAGTCTGTGTGCTATGCGGACACGGCTCTCCCTGTATATACTCAGTCTGTGTGCTATACGGACACGGCTCTCCCTGTATATACTCAGTCTGTGTGCTATACGGACACGGCTCTCCCTGTATATACTCAGTCTGTGTGCTATACGGACACGGCTCTCCCTGTATATACTCAGTCTGTGTGCTATGCGGACACGGCTCTCCCTGTATATACTCAGTCTGTGTGCTATGCGGACACGGCTCTCCCAGTATATACTCAGTCTGTGTGCTATGCGGACACGGCTCTCGCTGTATATACCTTTCAGTCTGTAAAGGCGCGGACACGCTCGCTGCATATACTCTGAGTCTGTAAAAGGCGCGGACACGTGTTTCCTGTATACTCTGAGTCTGTGTGCTATGCGACACGGGTTATCGCTGTATATACGGAGTCTGTGTGCTATGCGCGGACACGCTCTCCTGTATATACTCAGTCTGTGTGCTATGCGCGGATATCGCTCTCGCTGTATATACTCAGTCTGTGTGCTATACGGACACGGCTCTCGCTGTATATACTCAGTCTGTGTGCTATGCGGACACGGCTCTCGCTGTATATACTCAGTCTGTGTGCTATGCGGACACGGCTCTCGCTGTATATACTCAGTCTGTGTGCTATGCGGACACGGCTCTCCCTGTATATACTCAGTCTGTGTGCTATGCGGACACGGCTCTCCCTGTATATACTCAGTCTGTGTGCTATGCGGACACGGCTCTCCTGTATATACTCAGTCTGTGTGCTATGCGGACACGGCTCTCGCTGTATATACTCAGTCTGTGTGCTATGCGGACACGGCTCTCGCTGTATATACTCAGTCTGTGTGCTATGCGGACACGGCTCTCGCTGTATATACTCAGTCTGTGTGCTATGCGGACACGGCTCTCGCTGTATATACTCAGTCTGTGTGCTATGCGGACACGGCTCTCGCTGTATATACTCAGTCTGTGTGCTATGCGGACACGGCTCTCGCTGTATATACTCAGTCTGTGTGCTATGCGGACACGGCTCTCGCTGTATATACTCAGTCTGTGTGCTATGCGGACACGGCTCTCGCTGTATATACTGAGTCTGTGTGCTATGCGGACACGGCTCTCGCTGTATATACTCAGTCTGTGTGCTATGCGGACACGGCTCTCCCTGTATATACTCAGTCTGTGTGCTATGCGGACACGGCTCTCCCTGTATATACTCAGTCTGTGTGCTATGCGGACACGGCTCTCCCTGTATATACTCAGTCTGTGTGCTATGCGGACACGGCTCTCGCTGTATATACTCAGTCTGTGTGCTATGCGGACACGGCTCTCGCTGTATATACTCAGTCTGTGTGCTATGCGGACACGGCTCTCGCTGTATATACTCAGTCTGTGTGCTATGCGGACACGGCTCTCCCTGTATATACTCAGTCTGTGTGCTATGCGGACACGGCTCTCCCTGTATATACTCAGTCTGTGTGCTATGCGGACACGGCTCTCGCTGTATATACTCAGTCTGTGTGCTATGCGGACACGGCTCTCCCTGTATATACTCAGTCTGTGTGCTATACGGACACGGCTCTCCCTGTATATACTCTGAGTCTGTGTGCTATGCGGACACGGCTCTCCCAGTATATACTCAGTCTGTGTGCTATGCGGACACGGCTCTCGCTGTATATACTCAGTCTGTGTGCTATGCGGACACGGCTCTCGCTGTATATACTCAGTCTGTGTGCTATGCGGACACGGCTCTCGCTGTATATACTCAGTCTGTGTGCTATGCGGACACGGCTCTCGCTGTATATACTCAGTCTGTGTGCTATGCGGACACGGCTCTCGCTGTATATACTCAGTCTGTGTGCTATGCGGACACGGCTCTCGCTGTATATACTCAGTCTGTGTGCTATGCGGACACGGCTCTCGCTGTATATACTCAGTCTGTGTGCTATGCGGACACGGCTCTCGCTGTATATACTCAGTCTGTGTGCTATGCGGACACGGCTCTCGCTGTATATACTCAGTCTGTGTGCTATGCGGACACGGCTCTCGCTGTATATACTCAGTCTGTGTGCTATGCGGACACGGCTCTCGCTGTATATACTCAGTCTGTGTGCTATGCGGACACGGCTCTCGCTGTATATACTCAGTCTGTGTGCTATGCGGACACGGCTCTCCCTGTATATACTCAGTCTGTGTGCTATGCGGACACGGCTCTCCCTGTATATACTCAGTCTGTGTGCTATGCGGACACGGCTCTCGCTGTATATACTCAGTCTGTGTGCTATACGGACACGGCTCTCGCTGTATATACTCAGTCTGTGTGCTATGCGGACACGGCTCTCCCTGTATATACTCAGTCTGTGTGCTATGCGGACACGGCTCTCGCTGTATATACTCAGTCTGTGCTATGCGGACACGGCTCTCCCTGTATATATATGCGGACACGGCTCTCCCTGTATATACTCAGTCTGTGTGCTATGCGGACACGGCTCTCCCTGTATATACTCAGTCTGTGTGCTATGCGGACACGGCTCTCCCTGTATATACTCAGTCTGTGTGCTATGCGGACACGGCTCTCCCTGTATATACTCAGTCTGTGTGCTATGCGGACACGGCTCTCCCTGTATATACTCAGTCTGTGTGCTATGCGGACACGGCTCTCGCTGTATATACTCAGTCTGTGTGCTATGCGGACACGGCTCTCGCTGTATATACTCAGTCTGTGTGCTATGCGGACACGGCTCTCCCTGTATATACTCAGTCTGTGTGCTATGCGGACACGGCTCTCGCTGTATATACTCAGTCTGTGTGCTATGCGGACACGGCTCTCCCTGTATATACTCAGTCTGTGTGCTATGCGGTATAAGGGCACTCGGGTCACCCCACCTGCAGCACACAGACGCTGTTCAGCAGACAGTCCTTGAGATCCTCCTTGACCCCGGCACACGGGTGCCTGTCCTCCACCTTGTCCTCGTAGTATCTCGGCATGATGGCGGCGGCTCGCTCTCCCGGCAGTGAGAGGCTGACACGGTTTTACAGGCTGCTGGTTACGGGCGGCGCCATATTACTTGGCACAATGGCCGCTTCCGTCGCACATTCTCTGCGTATTTCCGCTGCTATGCAAACAGGTCCTGCCCGGTCGGCGGCCTCGCCCCTCCCGCCGGGTATACTGAGCGCCTGACTACCCTGATCTAGCCACAGGCAGCTACCGGTAGCAGCCGCCGCGTTTGAAGAATGTGACTGTTTGACAGGATAAACGGAAGCAGTGACCAAAGACTACATTTCCCTGCATGCCTTGCGTTTCCGGCTGGCTCCTTGCGTGACGTCACGAGGCGCTACGTGTTCAGGGCTGTGGAGCAGGAAATTGGGGCTGTCAGGGGAGCCGAGCGGCGCAGGTGAGGGTTCCACATCCCCCCCCCTCCCCCCCCCAACATTCCATCTTATCACTGTCTGAGACCGTCATATAGTATCAGTAGAGAGAGAGATATTAACCATGAGCCATTACAGGGCTATTCACTGCAGTGACAATTTAAGGATAAGGGACACTATAGTCACCAGAACAACTGCAGCTCAATGTAGGGCTCCAGCCTGACCCTGCAGCCCTTTCAATGTAAACACTGCATTTTCAGAGGGAAACAAAATCTGTGTTTACATTGCTGCTTAGTAACACTGCTAGTGGCAGTCACTCAGATGGCTACTAGAGGCGCTTCTCTAGGTAACATTCAGCATCTCAACGTTCTGCATGGAGACGCTGAATGTTCCCTATAGATATGCATTGATTCATGCATCTCTATGAGGAAATGCTGGTTGGTGCAGTGCAGCTTTCTAGCCTCGGAGATGATCAATTTTGGTGTCTAAAGTCTGTCCCTGCAGGTATTGTGTTGTAAAAGGCAGTGTTTTCATTGCAGCCTAGGAAACCTGCAGGGCCCTACAGTGCCCCTCTCCCTCCCCTAGTTGCTGAAGGGGTTAAAACCCCTTAAGTGACTTACCAATGGCGCTGGGTCAGGCTCTGCCTACTCTCCCCTCCCCCCCCCCTCCTGCCGACGTCAGCCGGCAGGGGGGACCTAATGCATTAGACCTCCCAATAGCTCAATGTAGCATTATTCAATGCTTTTCTATGGGGATTTTGGTGACGCTGGAGGTCCTCTCATAGTGTGAGGACATCCAGCGTAGCTTAAAAGACTTTTTGTGTTCTAAGAACACGGGAGTCCCTCTAGTGGCTGTCTGATACACAGCCACTAGAGGAGGACTTAACCCTGCAAGGTAATTATTGCAGTTTATAAAAACTGCAATAAGTACACTTGCAGGGTTAAGGGTAGTGGGAGTTGGCACCCACACCACTCCAATTGGCATAAGTGGTCTGGGTGCCTGGAGTGTCCCTTTAACCAGTATAGCTTATAGTGGGTTACAATACAGTACTCATTTAAAACAGTTGATTTACTTGTATCGACTCTCTATGATAATGTTCCTCATATGTCATATACTGTAAATTTTATTGAAGTCTTTATTTGCAGATCAAAATGCTGCCAACCACATCTGTAAATGCTCGCTCTCAAGGCAATGGTACCTTAAGCTCTGGAGATGCAGCAAGGCACACAGCTGGAGCCAAGCGTTACAAATACATAAGGAGACTCTTTCACTTCAGGCATATGGACTTTGAGTTTGCTGTTTGGCAGATGCTCTATCTTTTTACTTCGCCGCAAAGAGTCTACAGAAACTTTCACTACAGAAAGCAAACAAAGGACCAGTGGGCAAGAGATGACCCAGCATTTTTAGTTTTGCTCAGCATATGGTTGTGTGGTATGTTTCAAACCGTCACTGATAGCAATCTTTGATTGTTCACACTGTGCGTATTCAATTCGGATTTATGTTTACGTTCTTTAGTATCATAGCACCTCAAAAAAAAAATCTAATTACTACACAAGACTGATAGAGTCTGGAGATAAACCCGCCTTAAATAATACTGTGTCTGTCCGTTAGTGAATGAGATGGAAACCACTGCATTACATCCAAATACAAGTTAATGTTTCCATCAACTGATTGTTTTTAAATTAGATAATATGAGTGTGTGCATAATGTATTCACATTTAATAACTGTGTGTATGTGTGTGTGTGTGTGTGTATGTATGTATGTATATATATATATATATATATAATTTTTTTTTTTTTTTCCTCAATAGTGATGTGGGTGGAATATTGGGTAGAAATTGAAAAGTACATCAGTTAGCTTTACAAGCTATATTAAAATGTTACAATGATGGTAATTCACCCTTGTTATTGATACAGAAAATAAAAAAAATAATGCTTTTTTCCCCCAGGTTTTCTTACTCAATACGGGTGAGTGGAATAGTGTCCATTATACATTTATTTCTTAAATTGGAACATTGTATACACTTTAAAACCGAAAACTTGGTATTTTAGAGCGTAGATTCACTTTAATTAAAGATCTACTATAGGCATCAAAACAATTTGAGCTTAATAGACCAGTTCTGGTGGATAGAGCATGCCTCTGTAGTCTTCATATTTAATTATTTTCAATTTGTGAGTTATTCATTTATGTAGCCTTTGTCACAGTTCCCCTGGCTGTTACTAATGCAGTCTGCATGAAAAAATTATTTCATTTTCAATCAGATATTAACTTTAGATGATTTCATCTCCTGCTCTGCAAATTGAACTTTAATCACACACACAATGCATTTCAAAGTGTAAAAGGCTATTAACAGAGGAGGAGATAAGACATTCTAAATTAAACACACTGTGCAATAAAGGAAGTTTAAACATTCGATCTCTCTTTACAGGAAGTGTTTTGGGATGCAGTGTAAGTCACATGCAGGGAGGTGTGGCTAGGGCTGCATAAAGAAAGTGGTTTAACTAATGACAAAAAATTAGACAGTGAGACAGCAGGGGCATGATCTATACACTAGAATTTGTATGAAATACTCCTCTTGATCATGTTGGTATTTCACTAAAAAGAATTCCAACCCAGTCAAGAGATACAGACACAAACTAGGGACTGTATTTCTCCTAGTCCTTACTTTCTTAGGCTCAGGGCAGAGTCTAAGTGTCAATCCCCATAGCAGTGATGTTGGCTCCTGGCCCTGAAGCACCGTTATCTGAAGAGGAGCAGAGCGAAAAAGATGGCGGCGCCTGCGAGTGACCGGTTCAGGTAAGTAAATCTCACCTTACCAACTCCCACCGGACCCACATCGGCAATGTCACGAATTCATGGTGAATCTGGCAAAGTTCCCAGATGATGACAGTGCTGCTTTAAGCTAAAGTTGTTTTGGTGCCTATAGAGTCCCTTTAAAGTATATTGCAGTGATGTAGTGATGGCACTGTCTCTTTTTACATGGTTGGATATAATCAGAATGTGTATTGTTTAAAGTGTCTAACATAAATAATGCAACTTTGTCTCTTCACAGTGTCCACTCTTGGGTTTGGATTTGTCCTTGATAGGGGATTTTTCCAGACTTTGAAACTCTTACTCTGGGTGGTGTTCGTAGACTGCGTAGGTGTGGGATTACTGATTGCAACAATCATGTGGTATGTATATTCCATTTACTCCATATCTCTTGCATGTTTGTTTTTATTACAGTTTCACATGTACATAATCCTATAAAAACATAAAATGACATCTTGTGCAGAAAATGTTTTGCAGCTAAATAAAAGGAAAAAAAAAACATGAATGCATAATCTGCTCAATATAATCATTTCACAATACCTTTATATCGTGACAGTACTGAAACATCATGAAGTGGATAAGGGAGGGTGTAAAAGGGCTAGCGAAATGTACAAAAAAGTTTAAAGGAACGTGAAATTGTTATGGTGCCTGGACGTACTGGTAGCTGACTTATAACTGTGTTATACCGTTAACAATTTATTTAAACCCAAACATGAGCAGATGGTGTCTTATTGCAGTCTTCTTTTTGCAATATCCAAGGAAGCCTTGGACTGGGCACTGTTGAGAGGGTCAGCTGATGCACTTAATTTATCACTAGCTTTCCATTAAGAAAGCTGTGTAAGAAAAGTACATACTTTTACATAAGAAAATGTTCCTTTAAAGTGATACTCTAAGCATCAAAATAACTTTACCTTAATGAAGTGGCATTAGTGTTCAGATCATACTCCAGCAGTATCACTGTCATTTAGGAATGAAATTACTTTGTTTTAGCTTAGAGTGTACCTTTTAAAGGACAATAAAGGATAAAAATTTTGGCAAATATTGAAAGATAATTCTAATTTAGAAAGTGAATTTAATTCATGGTACAAATTGTATTATCAGTAAGAGAGAAACGTGGACGAATTACTGTTTATGTAGCACTACATACTCTGTGAATTTGTCAGTCATGATAATTAATGTTTGTGTTTTTTTTGTTTCTTTTTAAGAGTAAACTACTCTGACATGCATTGGTGCATTGATCTAACTACAATTTGCACTTTTTTTGTTCTATGAGAACTGAAGTTTGAGAAACAGAGCAAATGTATTTACAGGGAAACTTAGCTTTTAAAGATAGATAAAAATGTAGTGTGGTATCTTAAAGTGTTTTTCCTGATTGTGTTTTCTGCTTGGGACATAAGTGTGTATATTACAAATGTATATAATTTTTTACTTTTGTAATGTGGTGGCTGGCTAGCAAGTGCTGGCCAGCCATCACATAATTAACCCTTGCGCCGACCAAATTCATCCTGCAATAGCACTATTTTAGTAGTCTATGTAATATATTGCAACAAGGTTTGACAATTTGCTTTGTATCGAGGACCCAGCTTTACAAGTTAGGAGACCATTTTTCAAACGACAAAAATAAAATTCTTAAAGGAGCACTATAGTCACCACAGTCACTGTAGTTTAATGTGCAGTGGCTTTGGTTTAGCCTGTTCCTTTAAGAATTCTATTTTTGTTGTTGAAAAACACTGTCTCCTAACTAAAGTGTGTCCTATCTCAGTGCTGCACAATATGCAGTACCTTCATTCAGCGTCTCCACACTCTGCGTAGAGGTGCATAACGTTCCAGCATCCCAGCTATGGTGACGTGACCAGAAGGGCATGTTGTTGGAAAAGGCGATTAGAGGGGAGCTTGTGACCTAGACAGACAAGTACACACACATACACAGACAGACAGACACACACACTCTAACAGACGTATGTACAAAGTCAGACACACACACTGACAGACATATGCTTTTTTTTAAGATACTGGACTAATACGGCTAATCCAATTTACGCTATTTCTAAAAATTATTATTTGATACATTCAAATCGACACACACAAAGATTCATAGATAAACACGTCAGATATACACACAGACAAATAAATACATATTTTGTCATCCTCCTGTTATCTACTTTTGTGGGTGCCAGAGGGTGGCTTCCCTGAGGTCCAGTGGGACTGGGAGCAGGTTACAGTGGAGCTGGATGCCACTGATGATTCCCACCAGTGTCTGTATTCCTGTGCATTGGGAGAAAATGAACTGATCTACTTTCTCCCGGCCTTGAATCAGCGCAGGGGAAAGGGCAAGCGTGCGTGCGGCTCTGCCAAATGGGCGGACGGGAGGCCCTGCCAAGTGGGGCGGGCAGTGAGCAGAGACGGCTTAACCTCAGCCCCGGGAGGAAGTAGTTACAGTTTCCTTCACTTTCTCCCGTTGCGCAGAAAGCTAGAGATGGGAAGAGGAGGGAATGGGTTGACAAATCCCAGGCACCAAAACAAAATTTCACCATGACAAACCTGTATTGTGTAATAATTCTGAACGCTCAGGGAAGTCCCATGCGTTGAGGACGCGAAGCTTTGATGTTTATGACCAGGCCTGTGATAAAGATTTAAACATCCTCTTAAAGGTACACTCTACGCACCATAACACATTTTGCTTAATGAAGTAGTTTGGATAATAGATCATTCCCATGCAGTCTCATAGCTCATTTCTCTGGCATTTAGGACTTAAGTCACTTTGTTAAGGCAGTCCTAGTCATACTGCCCTGGCTGTGACTCACAGCTTCTCCACACACATCTTAAAGATATCTAATGTTTAAACTTCATTTTTTTAAATTTAGTAATTCTTCTGCTCTAATTGCCTAATAGAGCATACAACAGCCAACTGTGTATAATTAAAGGTCAATTAACAAAACAGAAAATATAAATTTCTAAAATAAACTCACTGTGCTGTAAAATGAAGATTTATTTTTTTTTTCTTCCTTTTCATGGCATGAGTCAGTCAGATGCGTTGTGGCTAAGATTGCATAAACAAAGTCTCCTAAATAGACTGTGTATTGAGCAGTGAGACTACAGAAGCGTAATCTATGCTTCATGAACTGCATAATCATAATGTTGGTTTGGTGGAGTATCCCTGTAATGACACCATGTTGTGACTAGTTCACTGTAAACTCATACATTGATTATGTATCTTGTTATAGTAGTTAATGTTTACTCACTTGTGTAGTTATTTGTCAGCTGGTATAATTTTTGTTTGTACTTGTAATCCTTCAATAGGTTTGTTTCCAACAAATACATGGTCAGACACCAGGGAAAGGATTATGAAGTGGAGTGGGGTTATGCATTCGATGTGCATCTAAATGCCTTTTTTCCTCTACTGGTTATCTTGCATTTTGTCCAGCTATTTTTCATCAATTGTAAGTAAAGCAACAGAGTTGAATTTAGTAATGGTGTTGTTCTATTATGCTTAAAAGAACACTGTCAGAAGTCGCATACCTTTAGGGATTAAACTTTTAAACAAAGTCTTCTCTAAAGTGTTGTTTACCTCTGTCCCATCCTTCCACTTCACTCAGATTTTTCACACAGAAAGTCTCGGACTACTTTGGACAGGGGTGCCATTGGCTGAAAGCACCATAAAAATGGCTTGAGAAAAATATGTATGTTTCTCAATGAAGAGCTACTTAATTGGTTAAGAGCATCAGTGGTGCTCCTATCCAAGGTTTTTTGTTTTGAGAAGCAGAAGGGTAGGGGCACAGCTGAAAGGTGCTAGAGAATGGTTAAACCATTCGTGAACAGTTTAACTCCTAAAGGTAATCTAGCGACTGTGATCTCCTTGCACTATAACTACTTTGTTTCAATGTTATGGTGCCCAGAGGTTCATTTTAACTTAACCATGTGATGGCTAAATGCAAGTCTACTGAGTACCAAAAAAATTCAGAATTATTTATTTATTGTACTGGGACAAATTATTTGTAGTCTTTAGCCATGTCACATAAGAAGAAAAAGTGTTGTAATGAAAAGATTTATTTCCACAAAAAAAAGCAGAACAGAATTCATACAATTTATTTAAAACTATTGGACAAATAAATGACAGATTTTTTGGAATGCAATTTTAGCTCACAATTGGGTTGATTTATTAAAGGACCACTATAGTGCCAGGAAAACATATTCGTTTTCCTGGCACTATAGTGCCCTGAGGGTGCCCCCACCCTCAGGGTCCCCCTCCCGCCGGGCTCTGGGGAGAGGAAGGGGTTAAACTTACCTCTTTCTCCAGCGCCGGGCAGGGAGCTGCGCGCTGATTCAGCCAGTCCATAGGAAAGCATTCTCAATGCTTTCCTACGGATGCTGGCGTCTTCTCACTGGGATTTTCACAGTGAGAAGTACGCAAACGCCTCTAGCGGCTGTCAATGAGACAGCCATTAGAGGCTGGATCAACCCTATTCTCTGAAACTGCTATGTTTATAAAAAAAAAGGGGGGGGGGTTAATCCTAGAGGGACCTGGCACCCAGACCACTTCATTAAGCTGACGTGGTCTGGGTGCCTAGAGTGGTCCTTTAAAGCATTGTGTTCTGGGAAAAAAAAAAGGTGCAAAGTACTAAAAGTGAGACAGTCATCCTGGAAACAAGTAGAATCAGAAGGCATGTTCCATTGGCCACTACTCCCCTTTTCCATATTTACACTTTACACTTCAGGACTACCACTTTGATAAATCTCTCCAGAATTTATATTCACTCTGAAAGTGCGAATTACAATTCCATATGTAATGTATACCTTTGCCTTGCAGATGTGATCCGTTCATGGTTTCTAGGATACATTGTTGGAAACACATTTTGGCTGGTTGCAATTGGATATTACATCTACATCACATTCCTTGGATACAGTAGTAAGCCATTCTTTATTGCTCCCATTTTATTTGACCCCACCTAAAGTGATCTAATCTAAACATTTTGTAAGATGTAAATAAAATAGTGACCCCCTTACCGAAATGGGGAAAAAAGTCTGCTTTTCTCCACTTTTTTTTTAAAGAAAAGAAAGGCTGTGTTTTGTGTTTAGCTTTGTAATATGTGTGGTTTAAAGGGTTACTCCCAGCATCATAACCATCACTGCTTTCTGTCGTGGTTATGATGTGAGACATATCCTGCCAGAATTTCCTGTTAATGGGGCAAACCGATGCTTTCTGTGAATAGAAAATTCAAGCTATTTAAATGCTTTTATAAGTCAAAGTAGCTCTAATCAACACCTTCAATCTTGATTGAAATTGGCAAACCTGCTGTCTAATTAATGAAACTCTAATTTCTAAATAGATTGTTAAAATCATTAACCTAGTGGTCTCCTACTTTTTCCAACGTAGACTTTGAATATTTGAATGTTATATTTATATATCCAATATGTACAAGAACAATACAGTAATGTTTGTGTCATTAGTTAAAACGCATTGTGATGGTTGATTACTATAACTTAGATGAACATCAAACCCGAATTTTAAGACTGTTTATAAAAGATCGAAATTATGTATAAAGGGTTCACATACTTTCTCTTGTCACTGTTTCTGTGTTAGTATGTTTATACAGGTAAATTATTTCATACTTATTGATATTTTCCTTTCCTGGAAAATATCGGTAAGTATGAAATAATTTTCCTGTATCCTGGCCATATCCATGGCAGCACTTACTCATGGGTTATAGCCAAAACAAAAATCCAAGGGTGGAAAAATAATAAAATAAAGAGATTTAACGCTGATGAGAAGTTTTATAACATTATTTTAAGAACCTGAAGAACAGCTTTGGCAAAATATGTATATATTGGCGCACGAAGGTTTAAGCTGTAGACCTTGAGAAAGATTGAAATTGTGGACCATGTAACTGATTTGGTCAGGAGCAACACTAGCTGCAGCTGCCTAGCAAGATGATAATGCCAGCATAGGGTGTACTCTAAGGCCTTGAGGAATAGGAATGTCTTTGGACTTGTAGGCCAGAGAAATATCTGACACTTTTCATTTGCCAGTAGTAGTGGATGAGGCTTTTTCCCCACTCTCTTGCATGCGAGGGTATGACGAACAGGACAGATGACTTCTTCCAAGTGCAAGTGCATTGAAAAAAATGTTTGGGTACCTGAGAAGATCCAATTTTTTTCAAGTTGGCATCATCAAGAGGTTATAGGGAAAGAAGACACCACTTTAGGTCTGAAATCAGGAACAGTAGCTAGAATTTGTCACCATAAAAATATATATATATATATGGTTCTTCTGATGATAAAGCAGGTAGCTCAGAAATCCGTGACCAATAGCTAGTGCCACAGAGAGCGGCCCCGGTATCAGGATGTCTTTTACATAATGGTAAATCATTATGCCTTGAAGTATGTTTAGAGCTTTAGTGGTGACTTGAATCTTTGTGAAGACCCTTGGTGCAGTACTGAGGCTGAATGGCATGTCTCTGATTGGTAATGAATCTCTTGTATCCCTGAGGTCTACTGAAATCATCCAATTGTTTGGGCAACTGCATTCTTGATTGATGTTAAGGATTCCGTTTTGAATCTTTTTGTTAATATAGTGTTGTAGAGATCGTGGACATCTAAAACTGGTCCCTACTTTTCCTGAGGATTCAAGGCTAATAATAGTCTTGAATAGAACCTTACCAACCTTAACACACATCCTAAACTGCTCTCTTCGATCTGGTGTTGTCCCTGCTCACCTTAAGCATGCTACAGTCGTACCCATCCTAAAAAAGCCATCCCTAGACCCGTCTTCCCCTTCCAACTATCGTCCCATATCCCTACTTCCTTTTTCCTCAAAGCTTCTAGAAAGACTAGTCTTTACTCGTATGACTCACTTCCTAAATTCCAACTCCCTCCTCGATTCTCTTCAATCTGGCTTTCACCCCCTCCACACTACTGAGACTGCTCTTATTAAAGTTACAAATTACCTAATCACAACTAAATCCAAAGGCCACTACTCCATACTAATTCTTCTTGACCTCTCTGATGCCTTTGACACTGTTGATCATCCTTCTCCCAACTCTTCAAGCCCTCAGTCTCTGTGACACCGTCCTCTCGTGGTTCTCCTCCTATCTCTCCCAATGTTCGTTCAGTGTCTCCTTTTGCAATGATCCTTCCTCCTCTCGGCCTGTCTCAATTGGAGTCCCCCTTGGTCTCCTTCTTTTCTCTCTTTATACTGCCTCTCTTGGCAAACTCATTAACTCCTTTTGGATTCCGCTACCATCTGTATGCCGACAACACCCAGATATATCTCTCTTCCCCCCCATCTCTCACCCGTGGTCCTACAACGTGTCATTGCTTGCCTTTTTTCAATCTCTGATTGGATGTCCTCCTGCTTTCTGAAACTCAATCTCTCTAAAACCGAGCTTCTTATTTTCCCCCCTGATAATGCTGATCCTCCTCCTTTGCTTTCCCTGCAAGTTGATTGTACTGGCATCAGTCCATCCCTGCAAGCCTTTTTGTCTTGGTGTTATCTTTGATCCTGACCTCACCTTTGCAACACAAATCCAGTATGTTGCTAAAATCTGTTGATTCCACCTTAAAAACATCGCCCGCATCCGACCCTTTCTCACGCAAGATGCTGCCAAGAAGCTTGTTCATGCTCTGGTAATCTCTCGCATGGATTATTATAATTCTCTCCTAGTTGGTCTCCCCAGAAGCCGAACTGCCCCGACACAATTAGTAATGAATGCTGCCGCCAGGCTGATCTTTCTCACCCGTCGCTCCTCCCAAACCTCACCCCTCTGTTGATGCTTACACTGGCTTCCTGTATCCTATAGGTGTCAATTCAAAATACGAACCCTTACCTAAAAAGCTCTAACCAACGCTAGCCCCTGTTACATTTCTTCCCTGATTTTATAGATATGTCTCTCTGCTCTGCTGGTGATCACCCCCTGTCCGCTGCTTACACCACAACTGCTAACTCGCGCTTGCAGGACTTCTCGCAGGCGGCTCCGTTCCTTTGGAACAGCCTGCCTACCCCCATCAGACACTCCCCTAGTCTTCAATTGTTTAAAAAGTCCCTCAAAGAACATCTGTTCAGAAATGCTTATGGACTCCCAGAGTAACATATTTATACTTATCCAAATCTGTCTCATGCTCTCCTAAAGAGCCACACTTCACTCTCCCCTCCAGCTCTGCTACTTTCCCACTTTGTTTGGTGGCCCTGTTGTGTTTTTGTACCCCACCTCCTCTAGACTGTAAGCTCATTTGAGCAGGGTCCTCATCTACCTAATGTTCCTGTGTCACTGTGTAATTGTCTCATTTATTGTAAATTTCCATCCCTTTCATAATATTGTAAAGCACTGCGGAGTTAGTTGGTGCTATACAAAGCCCAATAATAATACCTTGAATATCTCTTCCTCCGGAACTGGAGCTATAACTTGACCTAGTAGGAGAGACGTGATGGAATCTAGGAAAGCTTTTATTTTTTTTTCCAGTCTCCGTAGGAGTTTCTGACTTCCTAAACTGTTAAGTTTATGTAGCGTCCCTCGAAAAACAGTTCCTTTCACCCCGGAGTCCTGAATCTGTAAGACCTAAACTTCTGTGAATTTGTCTGGCTCCTACTATTGAAGATTGGGTCTCTTGCCCATCATAATGTCTTGTTCTGCTGAAAGGATTAGTGTGGGATCTCCTCCACCTCGCGCCCCCTGACTGGTAGTATATGGTATCTGAATTATCTCTTCTCTTAACTTTGTGGACCATTCTATTGACTTAACCATATTTTTAACATGCAGTCAAACATGACACTCGGCAAACCCCTAACCAGATAAGGAATTTCAAATGTTCCAGCTCAATCACACCTGGTGCAACTAATGAAGCACCTATTTTGCATATTTGTACTGTTGTGAGGGATTCTATTAAGGGGGTTCAATAATTTTGAGACTTAAGTTATTATAAGTTCTATTTTCTGCTGAGTTTGGGGAAACCACTTGAAGCATTTGTTGTATTGAGCTATTTTAATTGCTTTTGTTTTTGTTCATTGCAAACCGCTGAAAGTCTGTAAATTTTGACTACAACTCTGTGTGTGTATGTAAAATATATATATATCCTCACACAGTTGTAGTCCAAATTTACAAGCTTTCAGCTGTTATAATATACGTACACACAAACTTATGTTAAAATAAATTGTGTGTGTGCTCTAGCAACACCAAAATAAATAAATATATATATATTAGAATAACTATTTACTTTGGAAAAAAATATGAATATGTAGCAGTTATTTTTATTTATTAATTTTCTTGCTGAAAAAGAACCAAACAGTTTTCTCTGAAATAAACTAAGCTAAATTACTGACTTTTTTTTTTTTTTCTTTTCTTTTTTTTCATTTTAGCATTACCAGTTTTGAAAAACACAGTGATTCTTCTGTATCCATTTGCTCCTCTCGTCCTGCTGTATGTCCTCTCATTGGCCTTGGGGTGGAATTTCACAGATATGCTTTGTACTTTTTATAAATACAGAGTAAACTGAATAGAATTGTTTTGGTTTTGTACAGATTGTAAATATGATACATAATTGTAGATAAAGGTTATGATTTAAGATTTTTTTAATTGTTTTCTTTTCTTCTGTGGTAAACTGATTTTGCTATTAGTATTGTACATGTTAATGTTTGTTTTTTTTATATTTTATTGTAAAAAGTCCCAATACTTAAGATGCACAGTAAGATTGATTAAATCACAGTTTGGTTTTTTAAATTTCGGGGTATTTTAGCCTATGTATACACTGGGTTCAAAAGGGAGGACCGGGTTATTATTACTTTTTCCTGACTGAATATCTGTAAGAAGAGCCTTTTATTCTGAGTCTTACCACTGTGCCTTTTATGCAAAATAGGGTTTGAGCACTGACTGAGATCCTAGTGCAGGGATCGGCAGCTTATGTCATGTGAGGCTAATAGACTCGAATGGGCCAGAGGAGGAAGTCATAAAATCTCCCCAGCTAGCCCAGAGTGTTCCTTTACAAGCACGAGGGAGTCCAAGATCTGCACCTCCAGTGAGGCCAGACCATTTGTACCTCTCTCTCCTGATGCAGGGTAGCTGACTGATTTGAGGAGAGCTTCCTTGGGTTATCATGGCAATTCTCTAGCTCAGTAAAAAGCCAAAGAGAGAGGTTCAAATGGTCAGTACCTACCATAGATCAACATGTTCAGGCTTCCAAAAGGTAAGCAAGATAATTTTTGTAGATCTTTTTTATTTAGCATTGCCACAAAGAAATTCCTCATCACCACCACCTTGCCATGTCAAAGTATTATTTTGGCATAGTATTACTAAAATGTTGCCTAACTAGTGTGTTACTGTTCAATTTATAGTACTTCATGCTTTCAGGGAGAATCTGAGCCTCTTTGTTTAAGAAGTACAAGGTGTACTGGTGGGAATAAATTTTTATATCCACTTACAGTATTGTGCTTGCAAATATTGCAGTGGGGCATCTTTCACTCCTGTGACAACCCAAGCATTGTGGTGTGGATATTGAGCCCATGAGATGGTCTGGGTGATTCCCATGAGGGAGGGAGTGGAAAACAAACAGGCATAAGTTCCTTTGTGTCCGATTGCTCCTTAACCAATAGATAGGTTAGCTTTTCTACCAGATATACATATGAGTAGAATTCCATTTGTGAACAGAGCCTAGACTGCTGCTTTAATGAATGCAGGCCTTAATGGTAAACACTTCCTTTATGAACAACAGCAGAAATGATATGTTGGTTAATGGCCCTAGCTTGAAGCAATACATGACCCACACAAGCTGTGTGTCAAGCAACCAGTGTAGATTATAGAGTGAGAAAAAATGAGTCAAACTTTTACAGAAGGGACAGCAATATAACTACTTTACCTGATCAATTCATGTGAATTATGATCTTGGCCATATGCACAGCAGCATTAAGCTTATAGCTTCCCTCTAAGGCCACCACACTACCAGTGTCGACATTCACAGTTAACGCTAGACTGCTATGTGTTGCAGTGGTTTATGTAAATACATACTATTCATGATAATTGTGTTTACAGTATTAAGGACCTTCAAATTAAAGTTTTAATAAAAATAAGAATAAAGTGTTCAGGGCCAGTGCAAGGATTTTTGCTGCCCATCATGTGACATCACAATGCCCCACCCATATGATCTGCCATATGGGCCAATGCCAGTTCTGCACACAGAGTCTTTTATCTGAAAAGGCAGTGTGTTTACATTAAAAAGCCTGCAGGGACAGGCTATAGACACCAGAATCACTACAGTAAGCTGTTAGGGTTCTGGTGACTATAGTGGCCCTTTTAATGTGAGGTCAATTAGAGATTAGTGCCACTAATAATATATTGGATTGCCTACTTACCAGATGAGGATGATGATGATGGGCTCAGGCTGCAGTCTGGCTCCAATGATGTGGTGTAGAAGAGGCTCTCTGGAGATTGTTTGTAACAGTGCTCACAAAAATCAAGGAGCAGGAAGCAGCTCCATTTTTTTTTTTTTTTTGGCCCCCTTACACCACTCAAGGTTTGGGCCACCAGGGCCTGACCATGAGTATGCCTACATGGCCCACTCATGAGTTCGCTCATAGGGAATGGAGTGTGTGTGTGTGTGTGTGTGTGTGTGTGTGGGATGTGTTATTGTAGAGGATGTAATGTGTTTGTGTTCTTATAGAATGTAGGGTATAGGGATACAAATTTGTGTTAGGGATGTACCGTGTGTATAGGGGATGCAGTGTGTGTTTGTGTGTAAGGCATGCATTGTGTGAATCTGTGTTTGTATGTGTAAGGAATGCAAGGTGTGTTTCTGTGTATATAATGGAATGCCGTGTGTGTCTTTAAGGGGTGCATTGAGTGGGTGTAAGAGATGCATTTTGCTTCTGTGTGTGCGCGCATAAGGGGTTCATTGTGTGTTTTGGTGTGTCTGTGTGAGAGTAGGGATGCTTTGTATGTTTCTTTGAGTGTGTAGGGATGCATTGTGTATGTGTGTAGTGTGAAAGAGAGGATTTGTGGAGTAAGATAGTGGCTGAGAGGGGAGCAGCTCTTTAATTTTTTTTTTTTTTTTTAGTGCTCTCCCCCTCCTGTCAATTAGTGATCTCACCTCCCCTCCTTTCCATTAGTGCTCTCCCCCTGTCCCTCAGAGCTCCCCCCTCCTATCCCTTAGTGATCTCCCCTACCCCTCTGCCCCTTAGTGCTCTCTCCTCTCCTCCCTTAGAGCTCTTCATTGTCCCTCAGTGTTCCACTCACTGTCCCTAAGTGGTCTTTACTCCCCCCTTAGTGTCCTCTCTCTCCCCCACTGAGTGAGCACTTCCTGTCAATCTGGCCCGCTACCGGGTACAGGAAACAGAAGCTCCTCCTGTACCGTGGTCCTTCCCTCCTGCCGAGTCATCCAAATCTGGTGCGCCCTAGGCGACTGCCTAAGTCACCTATAGGATGCGCCAGCTCTGCAAGTGTTCTTTCCACCAAAACAACACTTTTATTAGTAAAATCTATCTGCAGAAGATAACATTTTCATACCAAATATTCTTTGCCATATGTACAGTTTATGTATTTTATTTGTGTTTTTAGAATATTCACTAAACTGTAAACAAAAATTGACCTGGGATTTAAAATATTAAGCTAAAATAGCTGTGCTGGAAAGCCCCAACTGTTCTTGTTTTGGACTAGACTAGTGAATAATCCAGGCTCTATTTGGGAATATGCTCCTGAGCCCTCTTTGGTGGGGTCCAATTTATGCATTTAAATTAAAATGAATCATAGGTGGAGCTTAAATGGTGGTAATATTCTCAAAGCAGCACAATAAGGGAAATCATTCCTCTACTTTAGATGTAACAAAAACAGGACTTTCATGATCATAGGGATTTAAAACAATGGTTGAATGTTGGGGTTTAAATACCCTGTCTTCTCATATTTAAATTTTATAATTCCCACATTTACCCAATGACTACATGGATTATCATGTTAATGAGTTTGTAATTAAAGTAACCATGATCAAACAGATGGTCTTAACATCTGGCCTACTACGGCCTCATGAGGACTTGAGTTGTTTGTACAGCAAATATCATTACTGCTGTCAGCAGTAAAAAAAAAAACATTATGATTACATTTAATCTTATTAGATATCCATGCATGATGGGATTAAGTAAGGTCATATTTAATACAATACATTTGAATTACACAGAATATGTTCTTTGGTGATCCCAAACACTGCTGTTACAGACACAAATGGAAAATATTCTAGATAATGGGATTTGTGTTTTAGAGAAAAGGCAGACCAAGAGCATTTATATAGTAGCAGGCACAATAAGGCCTCGATGGGACTAGCTTTAATCACAGTATTTTCATTCCATCTGTGCATCTCCCTTAAAGTATTTCATCTGAATGTATTTGCAGTAATGAGAAGATGTGTTAAAACCCTAGGACACATTCTCTTATATTCTAATGCTCTTGGGGGGGGGAGGAAGAGGAGAGAATATCCTTTTGGCATAGCTGAGTACAACACACTGGCACCACTATGCAGTTTGACTCGTTTGCCCCATAGTCAAGCTGGCTCCCTTTTTTGGGGGGGATATCTGGAATTTAAATGCCACAAGGATAACAAATATAAGAAATATGGCACTTTTAACAAAATGCATTTCACATGAAATTAATGTTTTGCAATGTTTGCCATCACAATCAAAACTGCATCGAAATTTGTTGAAAATGCAACAACGTAGGTAAATTTGCTTTAAAAACAGATCCCATGACAAATTAGAAATAAATATTTGTATAATCTGCACAGAATAAATGCACTGTACAAATGGGAACAATGCACTGTTTAATGGAATAATAAGATTATGGTAATATTTTATAAAGCCTGTGACAATTGTATGCTTTTATTCCAGGGTTAGGCATTTTAAACAATTTAGAATATTTTTCTGACCTAAGTTAGATGTTTCGTAGCAGGATAAGGGGCTGTGTTGAAAATTATACAAATATTAATTTTGATTATAGAAAAAAAAAATTCTGTAGGAAAGCTATAGTTGGAATTATTTACATTTTTTGTGTACTTTTGTATGCTTCCAGCCACACAGAGGCCTTATGTACATGCATGTTTTTCTGTCATGGAGGATGCTTCTTTCCTACATGTTACTACAGAGCATATTACACATACAATGACTACAATTATAATCATATAATACAGGTTGTTTTTTTTTCTTCTATACAAACAAAAATGAATGATCCATTATTACTCAAGAGCTTATACAAAAGAAATATTCTATTTTATGGCATAGATAATTAGAATAATACGTGTGCATGTTAATAAAAAACATCGCTATTCTGTAATGCAGCATATTCCTACAGCCTGTATAGGAGCTTTTGGAGGGAGTTAACTCTTGTGCTGACAACTGGGTATGTGTGACTCACTCCTTTGCAGCAAAGTGATTTGTTAAAAGGGTTTACTGGTTTGATAGAAAGCATTAGAATATTAAGATATCTTTGAAGCAATCACTTGTATTAGCAACATTTGCATGTATGTTTCATATGCCAGTATGCCACCCACCTAGATTGTTAGATGATCAGCTTTATTCAGGCACTAATTGAAAGAATTCCAAGTCACAGAATGAATTGGAGAACATGTGTATTATGTAACAAATAGGAAATGTGGGATTGCTACATGATCACATAATTTACAGCGACACGTTGGATTTTATGTCGGTATTTATGAATAATTCCAGAATTTCAAATAAACTATACATCATAAGGGATTTTGACTTTCATGAAACACCTATGAGTTTATGCACTAAATAATGCATTAATGTAGTGACAAAAATCTAAATGGCTAAAATTAGCCCAAAATATCAGAGACAGTTATAGCTAGACTATTTTAGTCTAAATTGTGCAATCCAATTAAATTTTTTAGCTGCAAATTAAAATGAAAAAGCATATTCACTGAAGGAGTATCTAGGTATCCACATAACCTAATCTTCATTCATTTTGTGTTGAAGTTGCAGGGCTAAAAGGACACCTGCAACATGAGAGTGCTTGTGTTGTGGCTACCCCTACCAAACCTAATATATAGCACACAGTGGAGGTGATTAAACCTGACAGTGTCTCTCACAGCATTGGTGACGGAGAGTGCAACAATGATTCTAAGTGTGTGGACAAAATAAAACTGTTCACCTCCTCCCTAATCATTATGTGCGGATTCCTATGAATCCTACTAAACAGGGTCGGGACCACAAAATGGTCCTCCTGTTCCCTCACTCCAAAGGCAGTGGTGAGTGATCTAATTAGACAGACCTGCAGCTTCCCATGTTTATATCATATTACAACATGGAAAAAGGAAGGATTTTATAAAATTAATTGGCTCAAATTAGGTTCTAACTTACAGATTTTGGAAGGCTTTCATTTGAATCTAATTCACACAGAAATTTGGTTTGCTTAAGTTGGCTGATGCATTTTGGTAATTCCATCTGACTGAGTTCCTGAATACCTCCCCCAAATAATTATGGCTAAATTATTTGCTGCAGATGTGTCCCTTAATAATTGACCCTCAACCTGTATTTTTCAGAAACACAGACTGGTTCTTATATACTGAATGTAAAGTGCAATTCATACCTTCTCTATTGTAAAGACACAATTATACACGTTAAAGTAACAACATTTTAACACAATGGCTAATACACAAATTGGTTGTGTTTCAATAGAAGATAAGAGTAAGGTACTTGCCAGTCACCCTTAGTCACATTCACTGGCAAGTATATACCTTATTTTATATAATACAATCACACAGAAGTCATGGGTAGCTGGATGGATTTGAAATAAATGTATTTAATTATTACAGTATCTGTGTATTTATTTAGTAATAATATTAGAAGTAAATATATTTTCTTTTTTTCTTTTGTAAATTAGTTTTATTTGTGTTATCAAAGAAAAAAAAAGAAAAATAGGACTCGCAGGTCCCAGGAGGCATATCACAATCTGCAACAATACAAGCACCATTCATTGGTGCAGTTAACATGACATGTGGGAACGTTTTCGGGCTCGCAGGCCCACAATATTGCCGGACTCGCAGGTCCCTGGTAATTTCTAGCGTCACAGCTATGGTTTTTGAGTGCACCAATTGTTACTGTGTACCCAGGCGTTAGTCTGATCGTGGGCGTTGGGGTGGGGAACTGTCCGGGCTCCGTTCAGTCCCGCTAGTGCTGTTTACGTGTCGGAATTATTCAGTCATTGTTTGTGGCTCGTCTGGGTATAGTAGGATTAGTATGTATTGACCCGAGTTTTCTTTTTGTCGCGAGTCTGCGGTTCTGTCATCAGATGTCTTGTCTGTTCCTTCTGCGTATCTGAACGGTTGTGGCATGTCTCCTTACTACTTATCCCCTTCCCCTGTCCTATGACGTCATTGTGCGTAGGTTTTTAACTTTCATTTTGTCGTTTCGTATTAGTCGTGTGTCTAGGTGTTAACTTGGGTGTACAGAGTTGCGTTGTCTTGTTTCTGGCGTTTAATGTGTTTGTTGTTGTGTCCGTGGTAGCTTAGCATGCGTTACTTGTGTGTATTGCTGTTTTGTGTGCTCCTTGTCTGCGATGTTTGTTATGTGTCCTTTCTATTCTACTCGTGAGTTATATCTGCCACTGGTGTGAGTGTCTCCTTTGTCATCCCCGTTCCTGCATATTATGTGTGTGTGAAGGCTTTCCCCGTATGAGGATAAGGAGGGGAGATAGGTGGGGGTGGGAGGGTAGGGGATGTGGAGAGGGAGGGCGGGTGTCCGCCTCATCCCGAGCCGCGTCTGGGCCCAGTCCCCGGCCCGTCCCGGCTCTCCCAGCTGGGTGTATCGTTTCTGCGCCTTGTGTTAAGAAATGTACAATATCCAGGGTGTCCACAGCTCTGTATGTTTTTCCTCCTTGCCTATTGTTTCAGCTATTTTGGCTTCTGCCCTTCTTATGTCTTCGACTTTAGTCTTCCATTGTTCCACTGTGGGTATATGTTCGTCCCTCCAGTGCAGTGGGATTAGAGATTTCGCCGCGTTTAGCAGGTGTAGTTCACCTCCTGGTAATGGGAGCTAATGGAACTTTTGTGTTGTAGGATTAAGATCTTTTCCCACTGGTTATCCGCAAAAGGGGGGGCCGAGGGTGTCTCCAGGGAGTATCCGAGGGCCATTGGGCATGGTTGCGAGCTGGAGCGCTATTACTCATGGAACGTGCTAATCTGCCCCTTACAGTTTGTTGTGAGGAAGTAGTGGTGGTAGTGCCGTCAGGGCTTATCATGTCATGGGTGTCATCCGGGTCTGTGGTATGTGTGGGGGAGTGCACTCCTCCACCCTGCGTCTTGTTAGGGACCTTAACAGATTGGGCTTCCAGCTTGCCACCTCGTTTCTCATCCATATCCCCTCCGGGTTGCCGTAAAGCGGGGCAATGTCATCTTTCAAGTGTACAGAGAACATACATTTGCATACATTTCTAGTTAAACTCCCCCCCCCCCGTCCCCACCCCTCCCCACCCTTTACCTTCCCTCAAATAACCTTATTCGGAGTGCGAACAATGTAACTATATTGGGAGGAAAGAAAAAAATAAATAAATAAAAAATTATTGAGTTGAAGCAGGGTAGGGGTGTTATCGCATGTATTACATATCCCCGCTTGTCCATGTTCCCAGTTGCCTCCTTTTCTCCCTCCCTCTCCCCTCCGTCCCGGAGTCTCAGGATCTTTGACCTTCTCTCCGGGGGTAACGTGATAGCCATTTCCTAGGTCTCAAGCCCCCTCCTCTCCTCCATCCCCCCCGCACAGTTCCCTCGTAAGTGCCTATCTGCTGTCCGCCTGTGCCAAGCTTCTGTTGGCACGTGTCGTTTTCAGGTCTCCAGTTTTTCCCCCCATCTGGGTGCAGTGTGTCCTGTTCAAGACCTTCAGTCTCTTTCCCTCTGCACGTGCCTGTCGTATCCCCCTCCCCAACATGCTGTCTTTCCCAGAATCGTCTATGTGGGGTCGCTGAGCAACTGCCCTTGGTGATGAGTCAGCCCCAATGTGGCGGGCTTTGCGGTGTAGTCATGTCTTTGCTATCATCTTTATGGTGGGTGGTTCTGGGTCTAGCCCGACCGCGTTGCCATCAGCCAGTGTTCTGGGTGGGGTGGGCGTCATGGGGGTATGTGTCAAAGTCTATAGCGTTGTATGTGTAATTGTGTAGATTACTTATCTGTGCGTCCATTGTGTCCTATGTCCAGTCTTCATCGTCTGCGGGAGATTGTTCGCTGTGGCTGCACTGCATCGTGGCAATAGTCGTCTGCCGTGTGGCCTAGAGTTCTCCGGGTTGTGCTTGTTGTTGGGCCGGTGGTTGGTGTCTGCGGGCTGGGAAGCCTTGCGGAGAGTCCTCTCTGCGACGTCTCGGGGCTCTTGGTGCTGGCTGGTTGTTCCTCTGTTCCAGGGGGCCCAGGACCCAGTCTGCTACTTCCGTGTTTGGCAGCCCCACGGTTCGTAGGAAATTTGGCACCTCATCGGGCCAGCATAGGGATCTCCACTCGTTGTTATGTCTTGCTGTGATGCAGAATGGGAAGCCCCACTTGTACGGGATATTGCGGCTTCTCAGTAGTTGCGTAATTGGTCTCAGGGCTTTTCTTGCCTCTAGCGTGAGTGGGGACAGGTCGTGATATAGAGCAATTTCTGAGCTGCCGAACCGCCACGTTGGTTTGGTTCTGGCTTTCGCCATAATGAGCTCTTTTATCTTATACTCATGAAGACAGCAAATGATGTCTCTTGGCGGGCCGCCGTCCATCTTAGGTCTCGGGGCTCTATGCGCCCGATCGAATTCGATTCTCTGTGGGGCGTCAGGGCCCAGAATTTCCATGAAGAGAGCCGTGAGGGTTGCTGCAACATCTTCTGCACCTTGAGCCTCTGGTAGATTGCGAATCCGTATGTTTGCTCTGCGCCCCCTGTTATCTAGGTCTTCCGTCTGTCTTCTCAGTTGCAGGAGCATCGTGCCCTGTTTAGTTAATGCTGCATTGGTAGCCTCCAGCCTGCTTACCGTTGTTTGATTCGTGGCTTCAAGGAATTGTATGCGGCCATCTTGTGCTGCAATGTCTCTCTGTATGGTGGCTACTTCTGACCTGATTGCCTCATGCAGGTTGGCAGACAGAGTCTGGAGGTCTGACTTGGTGACCATGGCTTCAGTGAGGGCCCTAATGTCAGCTCTCATGTCTGCCAGGGAGGGGCTCTGTACCTCGGAGGTCCGTGGTGCTGCGGCCTGTCCGTCTGCCATCTTGGCTCCCGGAGCCGCGCGTGTCTGTCTCGCCGGGGTTCAGAGGTACCCGTCTAGTGTGCCCGGGGTCTGCTGTTGCTGCGGCCGTCCCTCTGCTGGGTGAGAGTCCGCCCGTTTATTTCGACCCATCTGACAGGTCTGTAAGCTGCGGGTGCGCTGTTTGGAGCTGAGCGGGACGGAGCTCCGCGATCAGGCAGCCATCTCCTTCGGCGTCCAGGCAACGCCCCCAGTAAATATATTTTCAATGCACCTGCAGACTTGCACTTGCTAGAGGAGCTGGCCATTTTCATTAGTCCGATGCACTGCTTATCCAACAATAGACCATGAATGTAAGAGAGAGCTAATGTATGCTGATGAATTACATTATGTGCTAAGTTCTGAGAGAGAGTTACTGTTGAAATTATGAATATAAGTGATGCTTCTTCTGACCAATGTGTAATTAAAAGACCAAAAAGCAAGTGTAAGCCAATTTGTGTTAAAAATGTGTTTATTCTATATGCATAAAACAAATGTACAGAAAATGGCTATATTACACATGATATTTTATTTTCAATAAGAGAGAATAATTACATCAGGATTTGGATCAATTCTGCACATATTAACAGTGTAGGCTGATTTTGGTAATGTAATGATGTGAGGAATTTGCATTGGCACATATTAGGTCCCTTAGAACTTGAGGCATAATTGTAATGTCTCCTTGTACCTTGGCATTGTTACTGGCCAAGTGTATCTTTTCAAAGCTACAATCTGCTACTTCAAATGGATATATCTAGTAAATTAATGCACCAGGTCAGAAAGCAAGCATTATTTGAAGCTGGTTCCTGGAATACAATAGTGAGTTCAGTTTATTTCGATGGCTGCAAATTCCCCACCTCTCAATTCATTAGAAGGCCTATGGGGTGAATATGTTGCCAGGAACTATTGTGCGATCCCACTGCTTTAGCATGGAACCTTGTGGAATCTATTCTTCGAAGACGGTTCTTGAAGTAAATGAGATTCTACAGTTACTATGCAGGTGAACCTATACTAATAGCTAATGAATAGGGGGACACGAGAGGTTAATGCTAAAAAGACCTTTTGCTACACACAAATGCAATTATATCATAATAAATATATTTATATATAAATATGTATCTCTATTCAATATATCTCTATATGTACTTCCCTGACAGTCTACAAAATTGGTGTGGTTATAAAAGAAAATAGAATTTAAAAAAAATTCTGCACAAAATGCACTTATTTTTCTTGTTCTCATTGAATGTGCACAATATCCTACTCATTAAAAAACAAAACAAAAATAAAACAATAAAGATTAGTTGGAAATAGTTTGTGCTGAAGGTGTAAGCAGTTTATCTTGAGTAAAGTGATTTTCACACAGTCTGCACCAATCATTAGCTACAGTAAAATTTACAGAGGTAGAATGGAAAATAAACAAAACCCAGATGAAGTTAAGGTGCATGCACGGAATGCTAGCAGGCAGTGCGGACAAAAGGGAACGTCAGGCCACATTTCTAAGATGGTTCTTTTAAATTCTATCTTCTCCTGGGATACGAGTATCAGTCACTTTGTATTTTCTTGATATGGATCTACAAATGGGTTAACAGAAAACAATATGTAAGTACAGTGCAGCAATATATGTACACATATACACAATAATATATATGAGTAAATGATGGATACCCACCTCATTCAGAATGACCCATACAGCAGAGTTCTGCAAAACTGAAAGTCGAAAAGCTGAAATGGGGTTTAGACTCAAATTTACCATTCCTTCTGCCACTCCATCTTCAAATTTACCTTGAAATGCAAATATAAAAAAAGTCACACTAGTGGATTTGTATAAATATATATTATACGCATCTAAGTATATTTATTCTATGCTTAAGCCCTCTAACGTGTAACCTCTTCTTGTATCCACATTATTTTGTATCAGATTGCCTGTAACAATTAAACAATTAGTTTCTATAGAATGGGCTACTGTTAATAAGTAGGACACTGCATTTAATTTTGTTACGTTGGAATTATTCAGTCTTTGTCCTTTAAAGAGTAGCTCGAGATGCACTATTATTACTACTACTAACAGATTATGTAATTCAAAATCAATGTACAGCAAGATATGATTGTCACACAGTGTGTGCCTTTGCTATATGAACAATGTTTAACAGTACCCGGCTTGATAAGAACATTAAATGCTACAGAGCAGGTTTAAATGACCACTCTAGGCACCCAGACCACTTCAGCTTAATGAAGTGGTCTGGGTGCCAGGTCCTTCTAGGGTTAACCCATTTTTTCATAATTATAGCAGTTTCAGAGAAACTGCTATAATTATGAATGGGTTAAGCCTTCCCCCTAATCCTCTAGTGGCTCTCTCATTGACAGCCACTAGAGGCGCTTGCGTGCTTCTCACTTTGAAAATCACAGTGAGAGCACGCCAGTGTCCATAGGAAAGCATTGTAAATGCTTTCCTATGAGACCGGCTGAATGCGCGCGCAGCTCTTGCCGCGCGTGCGCATTCAGCCGGCGGAGAGGAGGAGGAGAGCTCTCCGCCCAGCGCTGGAAAAAGGTAAGTTTTTACCCCTTTCCCCCTTCCAGAGCCGGGCGGGAGGGGGTCCCTAAGGGTGGGGGCACCCTCAGGGCACTATAGTGCCAGGAAAACGAGTATGTTTTCCTGGCACTATAGTGGTCCTTTAAATGCATTGCATATAATGCAGGCAACAGTTCTGTCAGCAGCAAACAGCTCAGAGCTCAGGTCAATATGTGATCTCCTATGGACTCCTAGGGGAAAACCACTGCTTGAGCTTTGCATACTTATGTGCAATGTTTACTCTCCAGAAACAAATGGGAGCCACACTGTATGAATTAATGTATAATTATAGCAAAAATAAATTAATAAATGAAACTCTTACATTTACCCATGGAGTTGGACAGGAAACTTTGGATACTTATTCAAAAATTGTACTAATTTTGAATACTAGTAAATATAGTCCATGGAGTTATTTCTTGACACTTTATTGTATGCATCCATGTATAAATCAATCATGCAGCTCTGGAACAATATATAGTAACTTTAAAAAAAAAAAAAGATTTACCAGCAGAGGGAGCAAATCTCATCAGAATGCTGCTAGCTTTACAACAGTCATGAATGGTTGAAGGGAAATAATAAAATTTGCAGGAATTTCACTTGTGCTGTGAGTACTGCTCACT